ATCTCACCCACAAAAGTTATAAAACTGAATTCAGTAAAATGAGTCAATTGTGGGCTAGTACCAGGAAACATAATCATGAAAGGTTCCAGATTATCATAAATGCCCAAATGGCTTACAAAGCAGAACCTGCCATCCCTACCTGGTCTGGCCTACAAGTGACTCCAGTCCCACGCTACATGGTTGACTCAAAGCCCTCACAGATGAATTCAGTAGATTCTGGTGGGACAATATCATAAAGATTTTGATGCATTTTTTAATGTATATAATGATCTTGGCAAAATGGTAACTCTTAAGGTTTTAAAAAAAGACTAACTGTAGATCCTATGCTACTCACTAACAAATTGCATTTATTAAGCACTACACAAATTTTGACATTCATATAATGACACAAAACGGGTGATGGTGAACCAGAAGCCCATTTTATATCCTTCCGGATTTATCTTACCATTGATATGAACGGAAACAAAAACATATCTGGAAAGGATCTAAAATGAGCTTCAAAATTGCTATATCCACCATCATAAAGGGTGAAATTATATTTTTGGAGTAGTATAAAATTTTCCAGTGTTCAGTGTTCAAAATGTGTAATGACCGTTATCAGTGGAGTTAAGAGAAGCATAGACAGCATTTTATAGTGGAACAGGAGCTAATAAGTGTTTAAGGAGAAAGTTCCATAATGTGAAGATGTAGCCGCTAGAAGAGGTAGCGCTACAGATTGAGCAAAACTAAATTACATGATAAGGTAAACTCTTTATTCCATGCTCGCACATTCATCTAGATATAGGAATATATTTTCATTGATTTTTCACAATTCTTGGTTGTGTTCAGACTTTGTTCCCAAGACAGCATACCTGCAATAACTCCAAAGTCATAGGAATGCTCTTTAACTCTTTCAGCAAGTCCATGGCACCCACCTGTAAAACAACACAGGGAACCTTTTAAAAACAGAGACGGTCATCCAAGCCAGGTTAAACATTAAGCATACAAATGAAAAGTTTAAGAATGCTGAAAAAGAGACACATTTTGTTGAAGCAATTTGTCCTGCACTTGTCAGAACAATGTACAAGAATGTCAATTTCAGAGGAAAACTAACATTTATATTGTTCGAGAGCAGAGTGTTAACTGCTGGCAAGCCGACTTTGATTGACAGAGCAGTTGTCATAGACAACGTGCCAGTTTGTGACCTGGAGATATAGCATTTAGCACCTTCATCCAAACTATTGTGAAATATGGGCTCCTAGTATGAATCCCAATGATACCCCTCTACTCACTGCCTGCCTTTCAGAAAAATGTTCGAGTATTGTCACTCTTTGTTTCCTGTCTGCCAACTAGTTTCCTTTGCATTTTAATACACAATCCCCAATCCGAAGCACTTTAATTTTACACACCAATCTCTCTAATGTGGCGGTGCCAGTGTTAGACTAGGTTGGACAAGGTCAAAAATCACACAACACCCCAGATCATAGTCCAACCGGTTTATTTGAAAACACTAGCTTTCTGAGTTGCCTCTTCCTCAGGTGTAGTGAGAGAGGAGGTATCAAGACACAGAATTTATAAGTAAAAGATCAAAGGATCATACAACTGCTGTGAATGTATTGAAGAAACTAAAATGGCTGGCTGACTCCCTCCTGTTAAATGTTTAATTAGTTAAAAAGGAGATGCAGGTTTTGGTTAATTAAAATGCAAATCCCCAGAATTTCTTTCTAGTCACTGGTCCAAAATAACTAAAGGTTTTATCAACGTATGCAAGAGATGACATCTCCGGTCAGACAATGCATTTTAGGTGTGAGGCCGTCTTTAGAATCTGTGTTTTAAGCTGGAGTTGGACCCGTTTTGTTTCTAAAGCAGGATTTTATAAAATGCCCCATTGATTGACTGTGTTTACCAATTGCGCGCTTTTTGAACAAAATACAATGTATCTGCAAATACAAATCTGCAAATGCAAATTCACCCCATAGATTTATATGTACGTGAGCGCGTGTGTGAGACAGAGAGCATCTGCGCATGAGAGTTTGCGTGAGTACGTATGCATGCACACGTGCGTTCGTGCATGCATAGTGTGGAGGGGTCACTTGTAGTGCGACATGAACCCAAGATCATGGTTGAGGCCTTCCTAACGGGTACCAAACTTGGCTATCAGCCTCTGCTTGGCAACTATGCGTTGTTGTGTATCCCCAAGTCCGCCTTGGAGGATGTTTACCCCAAGATCCAAGGCAAAATGTCCTTGACCGTTAAAGTGTTCCCCCACTGGGAAGGAACACCCCCAGTCTGGCAATTGTTGCGCAGTGTCCATTCATCTGCTGTCATAGCATCTACATAGTTTCGCCAATATACCATGCCCCAGGGCATCCTTGCCTGCAGCGTATGAGATAGACAATGTTGGCCGAGTCACTTGGTGGGTAGTGTTCCCACGTGTGATGGTAGTATCAATGTCGATGATTTGACATGTCTTGCAGAGGTTGCCATAGCAGGGTCTCACACCTAAAATGCATTGTCTGACTTTAGACGTCACCTCTGTATGCACTGATAAAACCTTTAGTTATCTCGGGGCAGTGACTTGAAAGAAATTCTGGGGAGTTGCATTTTAATCAATCGAAACCTGCATCTCCTTTATAACTGATTGAAGATTTAACAGGAAGGAGTCAAATCAGCCATTTTAGGCTTATTCAATACGTTGATAGCAGTTGTATAATTCTTTGATCTTTTACTTATAAATTCTGCGTCTTGATACCTCCCCTCTCACTATGCCTGATGAAGGAGCAACACTCTGAAAGCAAGTGTTTTCAAATAAACCTGTTGGACTATAACCTGGTGTCCTGTAATTTTTGAATTAATCTCTCTCTGGGACTTTATCAAAAATCTTCTGAAAATCCAAATAAACCACATTGACTGGTTCCCCCTATTAACTCTACAATTTACATCGTCAAAAGAACTCCAGTAGATTTATCAAGCATGATTTCCCTTTCATAAATCCATGCTAACTCTGCTACGATTTTTCAAATGTTCAACTATTCTTTTCCAATGGCTTCCAGCATTTTCCCCACTACCAATACCAGGCTGACTGGAGTATAATTCCTGGTTTTCTCTTTGCCACCCTTCTTAAATAGAGGGGTTATATTAGCTACTGTTCAATTTGTAGGAACTATTCCAAAGTCTACAGAATATTGGAAGACGATCAACGCATCCACTATTTCTAGGGCCACTTAAGTACTGTGAGATGTAGATTATCAAGGCCTCCAATCCTATCAATTTCCCCAATAACATTTCCCCATTAATACTGATTTTCTTCAGTTCCTTCCTCTCACTAAAACCTGTTTTCTTTCCCCTCCAACATTTGTGGAGTATGTTTTTGTCCTCTTTTGTGAAGACAGAAGTAAAATATGAATTCAGTGCATTAACCACTTCTTTGTTCCCCATTATAAACTTCCTTGCTTCTAACTATAAAAGGTGCCTATATTTGTCTTCACCAATCTTTTTCTCTTCACACACCTATATAAACTTCAGTCAGTTATGTCCCCCACAGGCTTACTCTCATATTCTGTTCTTCCTTTATTAATAAATCCCTTTGTCCTCCCTTGCTGAATTGTAAACTGCTCCCAGTCCTCAAATCTGTTGCATTTTTTGGTTAATTTCAATGCCTCTTCCTAGGAACTAATATTAATTTCCCATATAAGTCACGGTTTGGCTACCTTTCCTGTCTTACTTTGACGACAGACAGGAATTGTTGTAGTTCACTCATGCACTCCTCAAATGTTTGCCAATGTCTTTCCACTATTATTTCTTTAACTCTTTAACTAACGATCCCCAAACTATCATAGCCATTTCGTGCCTCATAACATAGTATCCTCTATTTAGATTCAGTACCCTAGTCTCAGAATCAACGATGTCACACTCAAGTAAAATCCATAGTTAGGAAGAGTCATAGAGTCATGGAGCATAGAAACAGGCCCTTCGGCCCACTATGTCTATGCCAACCAACAAAAATAGTAATGCAATTTATACAAAATAATTGAAGTATTGTTAACTAAATTAAATCAAATTATACCTAATTCTTGATCAGCTGGTAAGTTGTCCAGAGTGATGGCAAATGGAATTTAGTTCTGATAAATGCAAGGTCTAATAAGGGAAGGATATACACAACGAATGATAGGAACCTAGGGAGTACGGAGGAATGATGAGACCTTGGTGTACAAGTCCATAGACTCCTGAAGGTGTCAGAACAAGGTGACAGGGTGGTGAAGAAGACAGATGGATACTTGCCTTCATTAGCTGAGGCACAGGATACAGGAGCAAGAAAATCTTGTTATAGCTTTACCAAACATTGGTTCGAGCAGAGATAGAATACTGTGTGCAGTTCTAACCGCCACGTTATCAGAAGGACATGACTGCACTGGAGAGGGTGCAGACCAGGGTCATCGGGAAGTTGCCTGGGATAAAAAGCTAAGAGGACAGACTGGATAGATTAGGTTTGTTTTCCTTGGAGGAGAGGAGACTAAGTTGGGATCTTAACGAAACATACAAAAATATGACATTATAGACAGGTAAATTATGAGAATCTCTTCCTCATGGGAGAGATGACTGAGACCAGAGGGCACAAGTTTAAGGTGAGGAGTAAATGGTTTTGAGGAAATATGAGAAAAAAAAATAGCCAGAAGGTGGTAGAAATATAGAACTCACTGCCTGAAAATGTTGTTGGAGACAGGTACTCTTGCAACATTTAAGAAGCATCTGGATGAGCACTTCAAATGTCAGGGCATTGTAGGCTATGGACCTTTCAGAGCAGGTAAATGGATTTAGTGTAGTTTGGTGTTTGTGCTGCAAGAATCAATCTCTACTGTATGAGGTTTAACTCAGCATTGGTAGTATTCTTTATATTTTCAATCAAATATCAAATAAAACTCATCATTAATACTTAAAATTAATTCTGCAGATTCAAGTAGTTTCCTAGCAACAATAAACAAATCAGTGTTTGTTCCAATATATGACTCATTTGTTAACAGGACAGACAGTTCATTGTTGAATTTCCTGCGTTTCAAAGTGATTGGCTCCTGCTTTCCTGAAGAATTGAATACAATAAGATGGAGATTCTACAATCACTAAATATGTGACCCTCGTGCATGAATGAGCAGAACTGAGCATTTACAGTAAATCAAAACCATGAAAATACTGAACAAGGGTACAGAAACTCACTGCTCAGTAATGGATATTAGCCTAATAAAAAGGTAAATTGTACTGCCTGGAACAAAAATAAATTCAGGGAAAATTGATTTTCTCATTGATCCATTGCTATATAGATAATTCCAGACCATGAGTCATCTGATCATTTGTTGATGAATTTCGCATCCTGTTCAGGTCATGAAAAACTTCGAGCAAATGAGTGGCGCATTATTGTCACCTTTATGTGAAAGATTAGCAAATGCCATAATTTCAGCAGGCTTGTAAGTCGTCACAGAAGATACAAAATTACAAGCAGCAAAAATAAAGGATAGACTACCTATGTCAAATTTCATCTCATTTAATCAATCCCTTTTGTGGCCCCAGGACACATATATCACAACACAACCAATTCATTGTTTTGTGGTATAGTTTCCATTTTGTATGCAAATACAGAACACATTTTGCAGAGAAGGACGCTACAGTCATCACTGAGATCAACGTTAACTACTGACAGTGTCTGGAGTACTGTAGAGTTTTGGTTTCCTTACTTAAGGATGGACATAAACACATTAGAAAAATCAGATAAGGTTCACTTCTTCAGTCCTGCATTCAGTCATCTTATGAAAAGGTGAACAGGTTGAGCCTGCATCAAATGGAGTTTAGATGAATGAGCAGTGATCATACTGAAACTTATAAAATTCCAGTGGGGATTGGACAGGGTGGACACCAAGAGGATGGTTTCCTTTATGGGAAAGACTACGTCTGGGGGACGCAGTTTAAAAATAAAGAGACTGCCCATTTGGATTGAGAGGAGAACTCTTTCTTTCTTAGGGTCATTACATATTATTAAGGACAAGGTAGATTGACTACCTTGTAAATCAAGAATGCAAGAGAAACGACTGGTCAGAGAGGTAGAGCTGAGGCCACAATCAGATCAGCCATATTATTATCAAATGGCAGAGGAGGCTCAGAGCTGAATATCCTACTCCTGTTCTTAATTTGCATGCATGTACAATCTGGAATGACTGAATTGTATACACGCACATATGAGAAATAATATCACTGGTCCAAATCTCAAACTCATTAAACAATTGCACAACTCATATTTTGTGGATAATTGAAAAGGAATGTGAAACAGCCAAGAGATCTTGTAGCACAGTGATAGTGTCCCGGCCTCTGAGCCAGGAACTAGACAGCATTTCTGTAGCTGCAAACAAGACTTTAAGATGGTATGTTACCTCCCTATAGCCAGGGTCAAGGATGTTGATGAGAGGCTGCAGGATATTCTAAAGGAGGACAGTGAACAACAAAGGTCGTGGTATATATCTGTACCAATGACATAGGTTAAAAAACAAAAGTTGAGGTCCTGCGAGGTGAATACAGGGAGTTAAGTTGTAAATTTAACAAGGAGTAAGGCAGTGGTATGGGGATATTACAGCAGTGTGCTAGTGAGTATAGAAATAACAGATATATCATATGAATAACGGACTGAAGAAACAGAGTAGAAGGGAGTGATTTAAATTCCTGGGATGCTGGGACCAGCACAAACAGGACAGATTGCATCTGGGCAGGATCAGGGCCAATATCCCCCAGGAACGTGAGCACTGAAGAAAAGAAGGGGGAATCAAAGATAGAAACAAAAGACAAAAGTAATTATCAAAAGTGAAAGGCAGAAAATCAAGGGTGAGAAACAAATAAGGCCATGGTGCAAAATAAAGACAAGATGACTAACAAGCTTAAAAAGACAAGCATTTGTAACAAGGTAGGTGAACCAAGTGCAAATAGACTTACATAGTTATAACATACTTGCAGCTACACAGACATGGCAACAGGGTAACCAAGGATGGGAACTGAACATCGAAGGATACTCAAAGTTAGGAAGGACAAATAGGGAAAAACAGTAGGGTAGCATTGATGATAAGTGAAAACAATGCCCTTGTGAGAACAGATAATGGCTTGGAAAATGACCACATGGAATCTATGAGGGTGGAAGAAACAACAAGACACAGAAAACATTGGTGGGAGTTGTCTTTTGCCCCTTAAACTGTATTAGAGATTAAGGGAATGCATTAAACAAGGGCTTAGAGACACAGGCAATATTCATGAGTGACTTTAGGCTACATATAGATTAGACAAACCAAATTACTAATACATTGGAGGATTTCATAGAGTGCCTATGTAATGGTTTCTTAGACCACTACGTTGAGGGACCAACTACTGAGCATCCTATCCTAGAATGGATATTGTGCAATGAAAAAGGATTAATTAACAATTTTGCAGTGTAGGAAGAGAGACCAAAAAATTAAAGGATTGTTCATTAAGATGGAAACCAAAATTAGGGTCCTCGATCTAAATAAAACGGGCTATGAGGGTATGAGACATGAGTTGGCAATGATAGTTAGGGGAATCTTACTAAAAGAATTGTCAGTGGATAAGTTATGGCTAATAGTTAAGGAACATACTCACAAATCATTCACTCCTATCTGGTGCAGAAGTAAAAAGAGGACAGGAGGCTTAACCATGCTTATGGGGAAAAAAAAAATGGGGAAATTAGAGAATATCTCCAAGAGACATAAATTTGCCAAAAACATGCAACAAGCTTGAGGACTGGAACCATCTTAGAATTCATAAAATAAAAGATTTCTCAAGAGGGGGAGAATTGAGTATGAGTGCAAAATTGCAGGGAACGTAAAAACTGACTGTAAAAACTTCTATAAATATCTGAAGAGAAAAAGATTAGCTAAAACAAATGTAGATTCCTTACAGTCAGGAATGGGAGAAATTATGAAAGGAAAGAAAGAATGATAGAAAAATTGAACATTTATTTTCGTTAACAAGGTGTAGAGCTAGATGAACACAGCAGGCCAAGGAGCATCAGGGGAGCAGGAAGGCTGACGTTTCGGGTCTAGACCCTTCTCCAGAAAAATTTATTTTGGTTCTGTCTTTGTGAAAGGACAATAATTTCCCAGAAATGTCAGGAAAGAGTGAGAAGTAGGGATTGAAGAAAATCAGTAAAAAGATGCTAGAGAAATTAACAGTGTTAAAAACTGACAAACCCAGGGATTGATAACCTGCATCCACAATATTAACAGAAATCACTATGGAAATATCTGATGCACTCCTGGACATCAGCAAACACATGGCAGCTGCAATATAACATGGATGTTCGCCGATGATTACAATGTTAAGATCCATTCGGAATTCCTCAGATACTAAAGCAGTCCCCAACCAAGTACAGCAAGACCTGGACAATATCCAGGCTTGGGCTGAAATTGGCAAGTAACATTCACACTACACAAATGCAAATCCCTGTCCCACAGGACAGGAGCTAACCAGAGACCGATGACATTCAAAGGCATTAACATCACTGAATCCACCACTATCAATTTCGTGGCAGTTACTGTTGACCAGAAACTGAACTGGGCTCACTATACAAATACAGTAGCTACAAGACCTGGTCAGATACAAGGAACATTGCGGTGAATAACTCATCTCCTAACTCCCCAAAGCCTATCCAGCATCTACAAGATAGAAGTCAGGAGTGTGATGAATCTCCACTTGCCTGGATGTGTGCAGCTCCAACAGTAAACAAGAAGCCTGACTCCATCCAGGACAAGGCAATCCATTTGATTGTTTTGGATGTTGTGCCATTCAATCCCTTTACCACCGATACTCAGTAACAGGTGTATGCTATGTGCAAGATACGCTGCAGAAATTTGCCAAAGATTGTTAGAAAGAACTTTCAAAATCCAAGATCAATTCTAATAGATGGACAACAGCAGCAATGACGTGGGAACACCACCACTTGCAAATTCCCCTTTGAGCCACTCACCATCCTGACTTAGGAAATATATCGCTGTTCCTTCACTGTCATTGGGTCAAGATCCTAGAATTCCCTCCATCACAGCACTGTGGGTTTAAGAAGGCAGCTCATCACCACCTTCTCAAAGACTACTAGGGACAGACAATAAATGCTGGCATAGCCAGCAACACTGACATCCAAGGACTGAATTTATTTTGAATTCCAAAATCCTGTATATTCTGGAGCAGCTCCTATAAATTGGAGGGTGGCAAGTGTAATCCCACTATATAAATAAGGGGAGAAAACAAGAGATTTATACACCATTTAGCCTAACATCAAAAGTGGGGAAATGCTAGAGTCTATCATAAAAGGCATGATGACATAACACTTAAAACTTATTCACACAATTAGACAAAGTCAACGTGGGCTTATGAAGGGGAAATCATGGTTAACAAATTAAAGGATGTTTTGTGGATGTTATTAGTATAATTGACAAGGGAGAACCAGTGAATGGGATATACTTAAATATTAACGAGTCTTTCGGTGTGGTCCCACATAAGAGGCTAATGGACAAAACTGAAGCACACAGGAAACACACTAGCATGAATTGCAAGCTGGCTGACAGACCTAAAGCAGAGGATGGGAATAAATGGGTCATTTTCGGGGCGACAGGTGGTGAATAGTGGTGTAACAGGATTAGTGCTTGGGCCCAAGTTATTCACATTACTTGGATAAGAGAACCAAAAGCAATATTTCCAAATTGCTGATAACAAAATTTGGTGGGATTAAGAGCTGTGAGGAGGATGCAACAAGGCTTCAGAGTGATCTGCACAACTTGAGTGTGTGGGCAAACATTTAACAGATGCCATTTAACATGGATAAATGTAAAGATTCATGTGAAAGTGCAGAGTATTCATTTAAAAAGTGATATCTTGTGAAATATGGATATACGAAGGAATCTGGGTGCCCTTGTACACCAATCAAGGAAAATAAGCAAGCAAGTGCTGCAAGCAATTATGAATACAAATGTTATGTTGCCCTTCACTACAAGAGAATTCGAGTTCAGAAGAATGGACGTTTTACTGCAGTTCTACAGGGCCTTGGTAAAACTGCACCCAAGAATCCTTATCTAAGAACGGACACATTGCCATACAAAGATTGCCACTAAGGTTCACTATACTGATACTGAGGATGGCAGGACTGTTTTATGAGCTTTGACTGGGTCTATATTCATAAATGTTTTGAAG